AGGACGTGATCCTTTTTAAATAAGTTCTCGAATCGTGGATTTGAAAACAAAGATCGAAGATTTTCCGTCAGGCTACAGCAGCAGGCAGAAGGTAGGAGGCATAGGAAGGGGCGGGAGGTATGAAGGGAAGTTTTCTAAATCTTTCTCCGTAGGTTTATCTAATCAAAAAGCGAAATGGTTTTCTGTTTCGAATGACTTATTCTGCCCCACTGAAAAGAACTTTTAATGACTTTCTGAACCTGCAAAAGGTACTTTACATAATCAGATGACGCGAAGGGGCTGTAAACGATACACTTGTAGGCACTTAATATCGATTTCAACTTTGCCTTTGTTTGAATTCCAAACAAACAAAAGTTAACCGCTCGGATTTATTTCGTCTGAGAAATTAAATCTGCTCCCTTAAAAAATTACTCTCCTTTTCAAATGGACAAAAGACGAACGCAAAATGAACAAAGAAAACGCTTAAGGAAATACCAGATAGTATCGTCCGAAGAAATGTACGGCCATGTTTAAACTTGTTTGACCACCCTTATATTAATATCTGAGGTGTTACGTATAATACAGAATTTCAACTAAAATTGGTACACCAACGGGATATTTAAATCGGATAATGCCTAGTTCCCTCCCATATGCCTGTTTTTAATTAGGGTTAAAATTTTCGGTATGTCGAATTATACATCAATTGCCTCCCAACGATGGCGGACCTTGAGTGCTAATTGCCACGATAAAGCCATAAAGAGTTGTTTAAATAATACAGCCTCACATCACATATTAATCTTAATATTATTCATATATTATAGACACCACAATAACAATAATAATTTTATCGGACTACCCTTCTATTGGTCAAATACAAGACAAACTAAAACTAATAAAGTTTTTCTGGATGATTGCATCAAAAAGCTAGACGCACACGAATTTCCAAACATTGAATTTGTTAAGGTAGTGGGAAACCATTTTAAAATTAAATAAATAAACATTTCATAACTGATATGTGTTTTTTTTCTGAAATTATTTTATCTTTAATTTACTGAAGTACTGAAGTGCACTATGAATATATATTTATTTTCGATAAATAAAATCGGTAAGTAGTCGTTAACTTAATTATCGAAGTTGATATGAACGGGAGGGAACTCGGCTAGTACCCGGGAGGGAATTCGACATCTATATTTTAACCAAAACTACCTGCGGGAGAGAATTCGGCATCACCGTTTAAATCTTTACCATATCCCTGTTTACCGTTTACCTGTACACCAGTTTACATTACTCGCAAGTAAAACTAAAGAAAATACGTCAAATTCCTTCAAACAGTATATAAAGAAACTCCAATCAAGTCCATCGTCACCGAGCGGCATGGGCTAGAGGTTTAGACCATTGCTTAACATTTGGGAGGACGCCGATTCAATTCCGGGTCCGTCTGCCTTGGTCCAAGTTTTTCTGTGGTTTCCTTGGATCATTTAAGCAAATCCTGGGGCAATAATATTCCACAGATAATCTTTCATTCTCTTCTGTCTCATTTCGTCCGTCTCATCTTTTTCACTCGAACCACCACCCACCCATTCCCACGATTCCTGAAAGGAGGCTCCAGAGGGCCTTCCGCCCTACCTTCCGGCGTAGTCCAGAGGGACTGAATGGCTGATTGAATGTTTGTTTTTTAAGTCCATCGTCAATCATCAATACTTACTGACTTAGAATGTACAATGGTGGTTGTCTAGTAAATAAAGTGTAAAGTTGAAATCCCTAAAAATGTCTATGAAATGTGTTTAGCTGAAGTGCAACTTTAATGAATTGATTTTTGGTGAAATTTTTCAAGGAACTTTCCGGCACCAGAATAGGTTAGGTTAGGTTATCATAAGTTACAATACTAACCGACTTAGAATTTGCAATAATAATTTCCCAATAGATAAAGTGTACAGGAATGTTAAAATCCCTAAAAATCTTGATGAAATGTGTTTGGATGGGTTACAAATTTGATGAATTAATTTTCGGTGAATTGTTTTCGGGGAACATTTCGGCACCAGGTTAACTTACCACCTTTTAAAATCCCATACACCCTGAGAAATATGTATTTACGTACTTGAATCTTAAAATATTTTGTGAGAATTTAACTCTAATTTATCAGTTGGTGTAAAAAAGGATTTGTCAAAAGGATAAGTTACATAAAGTCCATAAGAAGAACAAACGTTTTGTGAGTCGAGCCATGTTTCATGTGGTTAACATAATTCACTTTTCTTATCGTAACGTAACTTTCCAATTAGCAGTTGTTTATCTCCATTCCTCCATGTGAAGATTTTTCAAGACCGCGCTTTCTGCAGCCATCATCAATCACGTACTTAATCTCTCTCTTTTCGCGTTACGAAAACGGAAGCATGCGCCACACAACGTCTTTTGCTGCCCGCTTTTGTTGCACTTTTTTTCACCAGCACTATTATTATTATTATTTCTGACGAGGAAATACACTCTCTCATTTGTCATAATTTTTCGTTTCCAACACGCTCCCTTCCATCGAAACGAGAGCTATATAGCTTTGATATGAAGGATGAAACACGAAACAGAGCCCTGTCAAATAATGGAATTCAAATTCCTTTGGAAAACCACGCAAACAGAGATCACAAATATGTCCCACACTCCTTCGTTAATAAAATTAATAATGCCAAGCTTTAAGTCCACAAAATTTTAAATTTATTTGTATGCCTTTTTGTTCATTCTGAGAACCCAAGCAGAACAGGTGATGTGGATCACTATCGTACGTCGATATAAATGGGAATTAAAGGATGGTTCCTATATAAAAGGCCCCAGACATAGGTATAATACATCAAACTATGCATATACAGTGTTAACTCTATATAACAACACTTGAGGGACCGAAGATTTTTCGGTGTTATAAAGAGTGGTCGTTAAATGGAGAGAAATAAACGATATTATTTTACTATTCTATAATAATATGCATTTACCAATATAGTACACATTTTGCACACGAACATTATTATTCATACATTGCGTATAGCCTGTTATCTTCGTCTGATGTTTTTTGCTGCTCCAATATTTTAATTGTATTTTGTTACGTATCTTACTCATATCTTGAGATACTGCTGGATCAATTTGATTATATAAAAAGTATTTTTTTAATAGTTTCGCTGCATCAAGTGCTTGTTTGATGCTTGGTGGAGGGACAGGATCGTCTTCTTCAACAACGTACACAGCTGCAGTTCTTATCTATTTCGGCAACTTAGAAAGTACTGCTCAATGATTTATAATGCCGCATTGTTGTCGTTAAATAGAGTGAGCGTGACGCTATATAGAGTGCAATATTGTATAGAAAACAATGTAAACCAACCAAAGTCAAGCAATTTCGACGTTTTAAGTAGTTTGTCGTTAAATCGAGTGACGTTATAAAGAGTTTACACTGTATTTATACATATAGGAAGGCATTCACTACGTATAATAGGTCATTGTACCTTTGGAAGTCCTTACAAAAGAATGCAAGATTAAAGGAACCATATCTCAAAACAACGAGGTTTTACCACTAAGCGCCCGTTATGACTAAATCTACACGCAAAGAACTACCAGAATCCAAAGTTTCAAAGAATTTGATAGAGTGCCATTTTCTGTAAGGATCTAAGGGATGCTTTGTCACTGTCTGTCTCTTAAAATCCAAATTAATAACAAAAACAAAAAAGTGCAGTAATAGTTAAATGATGCAACACCTTGTGATATTATAGTTATCTTGATAAGAAAAGCTTATAAGTGTAATACGTTTTGGGAGGTCAAATAACCAGGGATTTTATTTATCAGACCGTTGTTCCCGGATTGCATGAAAAAGCGCATAGCATAAAAGTTTATTACCTGGTTTCTCAGAAACTGCATTAGAATGAGAATTTTATTTTCCACTGGGTCTTTTCCATAAGACCGTTCCTCCTAGATTAGAGATCGAGAAATTCTCCTCTACTTAATGTAATTCATGGACTTCGCTATAAAATAATACTCACTAAGAGAATTCTCTCTAAAACTCGCTCAATTACATTTTTCATATTATTATTTTCTACAAGCGTAAAAAATTAAAACGTGCTTTTCATAAGTACTACAACACATAAAATATTATTTTTTGTCGTATTCCATTAGATAAGTAATTAAAACTTATCAGATGTTGAAAAACCATTTCGTTCTATTCATTCTTTGTGAACATGAAAAATTACTTGGTATTGAATAGACAAATAATTCTACAGGTTTCATTCAAAGAAACTCACTTCCTTTTTCTATTTACACAAAAAAAAAACCATTAAGTAGTAGCTGATGTCGAATGTATTACAAAAGTATAAGGCCGTTTCTATTTTTAGCCTAGAAAATGGAAAGAAGAGAAAATTTTTTCTGATAATTTCACATCGTCGATGGTGTAATGATTGATAGTCGTTGAAATAACTGTCTTGAGACGGGTGAAAAAGTGTAGTCAGACGGAGCCAAATCGGAGAAGTAAGGCGGATGCGGAATAGATTCATACTTCAGTCATCGTCCACAGATTCCGCGATAATTGCTAATGAGTTCTCTAATAGCTTTCAATCCTTTCTATGATAACACCTTTACGGCGTAATCGTAGGCAATATAATACTACTGAACCCTACCGGGTAGGAAAGAAAGTTATTTGTGATTCCTATCCTCGACTGTTCCTTCTTCGACATTTACCTATGTTATATCAAATGATATAGGATTCAAATTACAATATCAACGATAAAAGCTGCACATTTTGAAAATTTAACAATAACAATTTCTATTCTCGGAAGTTTACAGCTACTTTCTTACGTTTCTTTTTTATGTGGTTGTAGTAGTTGTAGCTAATAACAGCTCGTATACAGTATGTATTTATTTTTTTTTTTGGTTTTGATATCTCATCCGTCACGAAATGTAAAAAGCAGCAAAATAACAGCGATTACTTCTTGGATAGTTGCGCGGGGAGCGTAAGAAGGTATATTTCTAACGGTGGGGTTTGCGCACTACGACTACTCCAGAAACATGCCAACGACTGCTACCGTCAGTCAGTCGGTTAAAATCGATGGTAGCAGTGAGTGAAGGGGATACATCACGACACGATCCCTCAAGCTCTACGTCAGTTCCGGTACGTTACCGTAACCCGAACTTTCCAACACGTTACGAATTAGTGAATCGAAAAGTGCTTTGGAATAGAAATTTATTAACAGATTTTTAATTCTCATTTTTAACAAAAAAAAAACAAGCAATGTTTTGTTCACCAAAAACGTTATCACCAAACAGGCTCTTGTTAAATAGAAGGGGAAGAACGAGAGTTTCCTTTTACTTCTGAACTAATTAAAGTGTTAAAGCGATTTTGTGAGAAAGTGAAGGAGATTTGGATACATTGCTATGAAGTCGTTGTTAGAATGTTACCTCTTAATGTTCGTACTGCTAGTACTTGCCATGTTAGATGACAAATGTACCGGAAACACGTGCCCCTTGTCGTGTATATGCAAATGGAAGGGCGGGAAGCAGACCGTGGAATGTAAAGATCGCGGAATGATTACTTTGCCGGAAGGCGTCGACTCCGAGACACAAGTGCTCGACGTTTCCGGTAATAATTTTCAAATACTTCCTCGGGAAAAGTTCATCAGCGTAGGGCTAATTAACTTGCAACGGATTTTCTTGCTCAACTGCCGAATAGGGAAAATCAACGAGGCAGCCTTCAAAGGTTTAACCAACCTCATAGAATTGGATCTCTCCCATAATCTTCTAACGTCGATTCCATCGGATACGTTCCAGTACATACCGTCATTGCGGGATCTGGTCCTTGCAAACAATCCCATACAGAAAATCGACCCCAAAGCCTTCAAATACATACCGGGATTAATAAAATTGGATCTATCCCATTGCGAAATACAAATGATCGCACCCAACGCTTTCGAAGGGATCGAATTGCTCGAGTCTTTGAAATTAAACGGGAACAGGCTGTCAGAATTGAGACCTCGTACAATAGAAACCTTGAGACATTTGCACGCTGTTGAATTGCAAGACAATCCATGGAATTGCGATTGTCGATTAAGACCCGTTAAGGAATGGCTTACCCTCAATAACATTCCCATTATCGTTGCTCCTGTGTGCAGCGGCGGCCCTGAAAGAGTGATACAAAGTAAATTCACAGATTTACATTTCGATGACTTCGCATGCAAACCGGATATGCTTCCAGTTAATCGGGACGTTGATGTAAATACAAACGACAATATAACTCTCGTGTGTCGAGCTAGCGCAGTTCCTGCACCGCACATAAGCTGGTACTGGAACGGACGCTTGCTAGTTAACAATTCCGCGTTTAGTCCGAATCAGAAGATTTTCATATTCGAAGAGGGCAATTACGAAAAAAGGAGCACCTTCCTCTTGACTAACGCACAAGAATCGAATTCGAACGATTTTTACTGCGTCGCCGAGAATCGGGCCGGAAGCGGCGAAACAAACTTTACGGTTCACGTATCCTTGCACGCGGCCAGTATGATAATATTCGGCAATAGTCACATTGCAGGATTAAGTGCAATTTTAGTGGCGATTATCCTGATCGTTCTTATGGTGATTCTAGTTTTACTGGTTCGCGTAAAAAATCAGCAGTTCTCTGAAAGTAAAACACCGAACAGTGTCGAAACGGTGGTTAACAGTTCGATATCCAGCGGGAAAACTACGGTTTCGTTGACAGCTGCTAGATGTAACCAGGCGACATCAGAATCCCGAAAAGTTCCGAGTGATTTAAGCTTTTGCAATCCTATACAGAAACCACCACGGCTCACTGATTTCCCAAACTCACCCTCGCAATATGCCGTTAATGGGAGCATTTTTAATTCGGCTTCGTGCTTCGTGTCACCCTCGTCGGGATCCGGGAATAATCCAGACCTCATTAACGACACCAGACTGTTGGAAAATGTCATAGACATTTCCACTTCAACCGAACAGACTTATGAAATTGAAACGCTTGAACGGCCAGGTAGCGGGGACTATAGCAGGAACTCCGAGTCCCTCTATCCCTCTGGATTATGGTCGGGGTCTAATGACAGCGCTGCAGGGGAAAATCTCACAGCCGATGGAGCGTTCACTTACAATGTCAGGATGCCGATTATAAACGAGAAAGTTAACGCTGGTGCTGATTATAATTTTTCTGAAGTCACTCCCGACTATCCCCCCGACTACGGTCTACCGATTCCCGAAAATAATTCTGGTGGTTTGACTTCTGCGAGCAATATAAATCTTCCTACGAACGCAAAAACTCTAAGAGTGTGGCAAAAAGGGGCTGTTCCCGTTCTGCCCCCGGTCACTGCCATAAAAAGGGCTTTAACTCAGAGTCGTAATTCTCCCGATGAAGGTTACCAAGAAGGTTGCGGAACTGATGTGTAATTTTTTGCCTTATTAAAAAAACGTTGATTCTGCAACTCATGTTAATTTATACGTACCTTCAGGACTTTTTATTACAAAGATGACTGTCTCTGTTATACATGGACGATTTCGAACATTACTTTTGTACTAAATATTCCAGGATCATTTGTATATTTCCAAGTAATTAGAAAAATAAGCGAATTGCTTTAAGCATTAAATCACATAAGAATTTGATATTGTCTAACTAATGTTTATCAGTCGCTTTTATAACAAAAGACAAACTGAGAGACCTATGTCACTTTAAAAAACGACAAACTTTCCTTACTGTCTTTTTCGTGTCCAAAATTACAAGTATGCATATTACTTCAAAAAAATAACGAAGTAATTGATATTTTCGAACATAAAATCTCTTGGATATTTAACATTGCAATGTTATTGAATCAGATTTTCCAAACTAAAAATGTCGAGGTTTGTCGATTAGAAATGACATTTGCAGAATCTTTTTTGTTTATTCTACCAAAGAAAATTGTTCCTAAAATTAATATAAAAAAAAGAAAACATAAAAAAATGTTATCAACCTTCGGTGTATTCAGATATTATACATATATTACATAAATTGCTCAAAGATGAACTGTATTTGTGTTGCAAGTTGCAATAATACGTGTGTGTATCGGAGCTGTGAAATTCGTGAAAATAAAGATGTTTACGATTTTGAAAAATTAACTGTAAATGTATTATAGCAACAACCATATTGATTGATGTATATTTATGTAAATGGTAATTTTATAAGACTGAAACTGTAAAAGGATAGAAATAGATGTCATAAACGGTCTTATTTTTCACAAAAAAAAAAAAGAAAACGATTACACCAAACCAAAGTTAGTACGATATAAAATATTTTAAACAAAAAGCTTTTGTTGTTACGAATAACATAGTTATGCAAGTATAATAATAAAATAAAGTACAGTTACTGTAAAAAGAACCCTAATTTGTATTGTCGATGCCAAATAAAAACATACTAATAATTGAGGGTTTCTTAATTGAAAACAAATAAGCTAACAAAGCAAATGAATTGATTGTTGTTAAACAAAAGAGTTGCATTCAATTTTTTATACTTTAATTGCAATTGAATCCTTTTTTTTTCTAAATTTGTGTCTCTATGCCTTCTTTCTTCTGTCATTAGCATTAACTCTAATCAAAGATTCAAGTACATTACTCAGATCATATTCATCATGTTATTAAATCTGTTTATGCAATCGAAATAAGTAGGGAATACGCGGATAAACTTTAAGTACAATTATTACAGTGAAGTGAATGAGTTTTGAAGCTATTCAAGAAACCATGACAGATTAATAAAGGTCCAAATAAGTCATGGTTGGGAAGGCAAGCAATTTTTGAACAACAAGAAATTCGACTCTGAAATTCGATTTAACCTCCTTAAGCATTCAACATGAAATCCTCTCGTTTTCTTTTGTTTTGTTCTCGTCAATTGTTTATCAGTTAACTACCCAAATTTAAAACAAAAAGTTAAAAGTGAAATTAAATTTAAAGCATGCGACGGAGTGCGAAAACATTTTATTATTTAGCGAATAGTATGTGCCGGGTAATTAATTTTGTCCAAATATTTTAATCTTTGAATTCCATAAAACATTATTGCACGAAATGATAAGAATAGCACAAGTTCAACAGTTTTTATTATGATTTATTATTCCAAGTATTCTGGAATCTGGAATATTTTTAATTTATTTCTTACACAGGAAATTTGATAACATTCAGTCACACAACTGTTTTTTCACAAAGAATGTCCTCCTTATAAACGTCGTCCTTGTGTTTTTTTTTCATGACACTATATCTAGCTGACAATTCTCCCTCACTGACATTTATAATTCAAGTATTCAATAATACAAATACATATAATTCACGCCTAATAATAGTTATGAAATTATTGCACTTGTTTATGAAAAACGTATGTAGAATCTTGTTTATCATCATCATAAGGTTGTCAATCCTAAGATTGGTTGGACACGCACCTCTACTCTTTCCTGTCTTCAGCTAATCTTCGCATTTCCC